GGGGGCCCCCCCCGCCCGGGCGGCCCCCCCGCCATGACCATCCCCATCCCCAGGGGCTGTGGACCTGGACGCCATCGCCGACGAGACGCAGAGGAAGGCTCTGGAGGGCATCATCAGCAACTTTGGGCAGACGCCATGCCAGCTGCTCAAGGTAGCTCATACCCTCACCCCCCAAAAACATTACCCCTTTTGGGGGGTCACCCCCTTTCTTATGGGTTCCTCGCACCCCCCCAGGAGCCCCATCCTGCCCGGCTGTCAGCAGAGAGCGCTGCGCGGAGGCTGGCCCGCCTCGACACCCGCTCACCCAACGTCTTCGAGAACCTGGACCAGCTTAAGTCCTTCTTTGTGGAGGTGAGGACAACCCTGGGGGGTTCCCGGCCAGGACTTGGGGGGGTGGTGGTGACCAGGAGGGTGCCCATTGGTTGCTGTCACCCCGCAGGGCATCAGCGATGGGGTGGCCCTGGTGCAAGCTGTGGTCCCCAAGAACCAGGCGCACTCCTTCATCACTCAGGGATCACCCGACGTCCTGGTGAGTGTGGGGAAACTGAGGCATGGGTACACGGGGGGGACAAGGAGCAAACCCCAGGAGGGCTCCAGTGGTGGGAGCTGTCACCTCCATCTCTGCCCAGGTCACCGTGAGTGCCAACGGTTTATTGGGAACCCATAACTGGTTGCCCTATGACAAGAACATCTCCAACTACTTCAGCTTCACCAAAGACCCCACCGTCTCCAACGCAAAGTGAGTTGGGTGCGTGGTCCCCAGGGATGGTCCCCGGAGGTGCCACCAGCTCACCCATGGCTCTGCAACCATCCCATGTCCCTCCCCACCAGGACCCAGCGCTTCCTTCAGGGCCCCTTCGCCCCTGGCGCGGACCTCTGCTCCCGCACGCTGGCCGTGTCCCCCGATGGGAAGCTGCTCTTCAGCGGGGGACATTGGGACAACAGCCTCCGTGTCACCTCGCTGGCCAAAGGGAAGGTTGTTGGGCACATCACCCGGCACATAGGTACGTCCACCTCCAATGATGAAGGTCTGATGGTGCCCCGGTGGGTTTGTAGGGCCATGGGGGGAGGCAAGGGACACGTGAGCGGGCAGGGGACATCTCCCAGTGTCCCCCATCTTCTGGGGACAGTCCAGGCTCCATCTCAGAGCCGGGGTGGGTTTAGGGTTAGAAACATCTCCACACCCCAAAACATGTCTTGGTGCCATCCCATGGGGTCAGGGTGCTGAGCATGGTGTGACAGGACCTCATGGTGTCCTTCTGGATGTCACAGATGTTGTCACCTGCCTGGCGCTTGACCTCTGCGGCATCTACCTCATTTCTGGGTCCCGGGACACCACCTGCATGGTGTGGCAGGTCCTACAGCAGGTAGGGGTCAACCCTCACCCCGCATTCCAGCCAGGAGGAGCTCGTGGTGGGTGCTGCCACCAGGTCACTGAGGTCCCCATGTCCCCAACACCAGGGTGGGTTCTCCAGCGGCTTGGCTCCCAAACCTGTCCAGGTCTTGTACGGCCACGACGCCGAGGTGACGTGTGTGGCCATCAGCACCGAGCTGGACATGGCGGTGTCGGGCTCCAAGGTGAGATGGGATGGTGGCGGGGTGGGCAGTGGGGTGGGCAGTGCCACCATCACCACCTCCGCGTCCCCTTCCTCCCTTAGGATGGCACCATCATCATCCACACCATCCGCCGGGGTCTCTTCATCCGGTCCCTGCGGCCGCCTGGCGAGAGCTCACCA